TATCTATGCACATACCCTGCAGCAAATCAAACTGGTTCAGAACTTGAGCTGAGCTAGCCTGAAAAGGGTCGGTACTGGTTCTTCATCTATCTCAACTCAATGCTTTCAACTGTCTTTTTTAACATGGCGATGTCCTACGAAGTGACAATTGTCGCCCTCTGCAGAACTTTTGAACTTGTTCTGAGCTGACTCTGGCTTAGATGGTTCTGAGACAGTTCATATAACAACAGTTCCTAGATAGTTCAAAAAGAGTTACCTCCGAACTAGAAATAATTTGGTTAGTTTTGAGCTGGTTCTTAGAAGTATAGTACAGAGCCTTTTCTTTAAATAAGCACGCATACAATTTTGTAAATAAAAAATATATACTTCATTTTATGTTTAAAGAGCTATTTGATTTGCACTAATTTACTTTTTGAGGCAAACTGTGCTTTAAAATTAGGAACATAAATTGTCAATTATTCCTTTTTTTCTTTTTGTTATTCGTAAAAATAATTTATATTTGTTACGTATAATGGGTATTTCTGGGATACTTATAATTAAAAATCTAAACTAAATCGTGTAAAAAAATGAGAAAAACGGTGATATATTGAATGCTTATTTGTGATAGCTCAGCGTTAAATTGTATTAAGTGTATTGAAATGTAATACATAGACTCCCCTGCATCTAATAAGAACATATAGAATTTTAAATATTCACAATGATTTTCATGCTAAATATTTTTCGTAAATTTTTTATTTAAGGATGGCTCATAAGTATTATAACATAAACAAATAAATTCACGTTTCTAACTGTGTTGGTAATTTAGTAGAATTCTAGAAACTATTATAAAAACTTCAATATTTTAAATCAGAGTTTATAAGTATGCAGCTCTATAAGCCATTAAATTTTAGTATAATTAATCGCGCTGATTTAATGTAACACTTTTTACGCACGCTCTTGAAGATATTCTCCAATTTAAATATTTTCGTTTAAGATGCAAGATTACACTTTACTACACTAAAATTTGAATACTCGAAATAGTTATAATAAAAAAAATCTTTATTTTTTATATTTTATTTAAAAATGTTTATTTTTTTTTAAATCTGATTACAAGGTAAAAAATTTTGATGAAAAATCGTTAAATTTAACTTTGTTTTATATAAAGTTTTGAAACACGGTTTATATGATTTTGTTTCAAGCATCATGATTTGTTTTATAAAATAATAACAAACAAATTTTAACTCTAAATATATTGTGAATATTTAAAAAGGAAATGGCGCACAGTGTTTCGAATATATGGAGGCAGGTAGAAAAAAGTCATGGTGACAGTTGGTAAAAAAAACCGGTTTGACTTAGAGAGGGAATAGTAAAAGTCATAAGTACCAAATTTTACATTATTTACTCACCCCCCTTCTTCACGAACGATACATTTCCAAAAAAATACGGGAATGGGCGCGATACCGACTAATCAGTTTAGTTGCATTTGGCGCTGAACCCATTACAGAAAGTGTTTCTTTTTCAATTGTAATTAATTATCTAAATGTCGTGGAATATTCAGGTGAAGGTATTTATCATTTATTTGGTATTTTCCTATTTCCTTACCAAAAAATTTACTTTGAAATGTAGATTATAAAGATTATTAGTAAAAAAAGTGTGTGTGTTACCGGTCCGTCAGGTCTTGAAATTAGAGTAATATTTTAGAGAATTTTATGTAGTTTTCGAATATATAATTTGATCTTTGCGCGCGACTTTGCAAATATATGTAATTTTTGATTTTCTTAATTTTTGATTTTCAGCTTCTTTTTGCATAATTTAGCGAAAAGAATTTTTCAAACAATGAAAAAATCCCACCAGATATTGGGAAAAAGCGAGTATTGACACCTAAGTCATTTTATTGTATAACCTTTGTTTTCTGAGAGTGGAAAGCAGGAAACAAAAGTTACCCAAAATTCTATCACATTTAATGACTGGGCCCACATTTTTTGTGAGTTTTGAACGTTATAGTAATCCAATCTTCTCCATATTTTATATTTAGGTTTTTCTAATAAAATAAAGACTACAAACTAAATTTCATCGAAATCATTACATTAATGGTACCAGTAACGACTTTTTTGGAAATATTTTAGCAGTTGCCGTATAAACTATGTAGAGAACTACATATTAAATAAACGAAAACAGTTTGCTATTAGTTTTAGGGACTAAAAAATCGAAAAAATATAGTATAGCATCTCTTGTCAGCTTTCACATGACCAGGATGAGTAACATTGATGACAGCGCAACTAGCAACATATGAGTTTCAACCGTCCAGCTCTGCATCCCTTTTGCAGTAGTTCAGAGACAGTTCTGAAATTTGTGGGGCGGAACTAGCGCTTTGCCAGACTGTCCCTAAATTTTGCTGCAGGGTACGTATCTATGCACATACGTATCTATGCACATACATACATATTACTTAGGTAAGTATATCAGCATTTTAGTTGAAATTCCCCTACATTCCTATCCTTAGTTTTATTCAGATACCACAAATGCACGATCCAGAAAATTATTCTATCATTCTTGCCACAAATGTATGTTTTCTTCGAAAATACTCAAATATTTTAAACATATTTTGAATAGGAACTTATAACTTTTTTACCATCTGTAAAACTGACGAAGTGGCAACCATCTAAAGAAGGAGAAATCAGCTGACACGGAAAATCTAAATTCAGCCGATTTCTGCTCTACGGGCTACAACTACAGAAAAATTCTGCGGTGTTGAGTTTTCATTTACATGGTGCTTTGGTAAGACAGATCGTGTCAGCTGACTCGGGTTTACGTACCGGTAGGTTTACGTTCTTGACTAATTTCAGCTTAAAGCTTAGTATCCAGCTCTTAAGAAAACGGTCAAGAAAAAATTGCCATTATTTCGCGTGTGTGTCCAAGGAATTTTGACATTTTTTATACCTCACATCCTGTTGCCTCACTCTTTCCTCAAGAAATAATGGAACGGGCATATATTTCTGTTGCAAACCTGGGTTGCCTTGTGCTCTTTTTTCAAAAAAAACTTTAGAAAACCGTAGTAGAAAGCGTACTAAATTTCTGAAGAACTGCGTACTGCCTTAAGGAAATTTGACTCAAGAAAATTTCTTAGCCATTTCTTGCACGTCATTTTATATGGAGTGTTTGCTTTTCTTAAGAGCTGGATACTAAGCTTAAAGGAGGGAAAGTATTTGCGCGGCAATCGGATGTCTTGCTAGGCCCTTTAAATGGAATTGCGCAGGAGTTTAGTATATATCAAACTAAAGTGCTAAGCTGCAGTTGCAGTTGACCGTGTTTGTCAAAAAAGTAAAAGGTGGCAGAAAAGTCAATAGCGAGTAATATAATTTCGGAAAATATTCGGACAAGTTATTAGGTATTATTCATAGCATTGAAATATATTTCACGAAAGCAAAAAAATAAAAATAGCTGAGATCCCTTTCTTTTTTAAACACCCATTAAAAAATTTTTTATAACCAGTGGTTGAATTTTTGTACTGAAAGGGTTAACCCTAAAAGTATAATTCAAGTTTCGTCCTACCGACTGTTATTGATGTTTTTTATCAAGTGTTTGTATCTACAGCTTTCAGTTTCTCAATGTTTATGTTTATATGTTTAAATTAATCAAAACTAAAACTGGACACAGAAAAATGCAGCAGTTTTGAGTAAGGAATACGAATTAATGTTAAATGTTGTACTTAAGTTATTGTTTTATCAAACCAATTTGCCATTGCATAGGCCCTGAAGAAGACCATATATTAGGGCGGGTCAATTTGTATGGATCGATTTTTTTCGACATCGTTCCTAACATTTGCGGATTCTTCATAAAATTCTAAGAAAAAAATTCCTCAAGACCTTAGCACTAAAGTCAACTTCGAGCCAGCGCATTTTTAAAAGAAGATATGGGTATTTCCATCGGAAGGTCCAACACGACAAAAAATATAAAAATCTTATATCTAACGTATTTACGGGCCGATTTGCCTGCTTTTTAAAATATATACTGGCTATGTAAGTAGAATCATCTCGACACATAAAAAAAATCCCAAAATTTTCATCTTTAAGGTATAGTCCAACCTTTCACAATATCTTGTATTAGTCTTAATCTGAAATATATATATATCTGTGTTCGTATGGAAAAGTAGTTTATGTCGAAAGGCTGGCTTTAGTATAAATCGGCGTTCGCAGCATACAATTGCGAATGATTTACGGGCGCTAAGTCGTTAAACAACTTCTGGCAAATAAACGTGCAAGAAATAGTTGCGATAATAGCAAGTCAATATTCCTATNCATTAAAAAATTTTTTATAACCAGTGGTTGAATTTTTGTACTGAAAGGGTTAACCCTAAAAGTATAATTCAAGTTTCGTCCTACCGACTGTTATTGATGTTTTTTATCAAGTGTTTGTATCTACAGCTTTCAGTTTCTCAATGTTTATGTTTATATGTTTAAATTAATCAAAACTAAAACTGGACACAGAAAAATGCAGCAGTTTTGAGTAAGGAATACGAATTAATGTTAAATGTTGTACTTAAGTTATTGTTTTATCAAACCAATTTGCCATTGCATAGGCCCTGAAGAAGACCATATATTAGGGCGGGTCAATTTGTATGGATCGATTTTTTTCGACATCGTTCCTAACATTTGCTATATATATATATATTAGGGCGGGTCAATTTGTATGGATCGATTTTTTTCGACATCGTTCCTAGCATTTGCGGATTCTTCATAAAATTCTAAGAAAAAAATTCCTCAAGACCTTAGCACTAAAGTCAACTTCGAGCCAGCGCATTTTTAAAAGAAGATATGGGTATTTCCATCGGAAGGTCCAACACGACAAAAAATATAAAAATCTTATATCTAACGTATTTACGGGCCGATTTGCCTGCTTTTTAAAATATATACTGGCTATGTAAGTAGAATCATCTCGACACATAAAAAAAATCCCAAAATTTTCATCTTTAAGGTATAGTCCAACCTTTCACAATATCTTGTATTAGTCTTAATCTGAAATATATATATATCTGTGTTCGTATGGAAAAGTAGTTTATGTCGAAAGGCTGGCTTTAGTATAAATCGGCGTTCGCAGCATACAATTGCGAATGATTTACGGGCGCTAAGTCGTTAAACAACTTCTGGCAAATAAACGTGCAAGAAATAGTTGCGATAATAGCAAGTCAATATTCCTATTAAGTCTCATCAAAAAATTCTTTGTCGTTTAAAAAATAAAAGGAATGCCGCATTATACTAAAGTCGGCCTTTCGACATAAGCTACTTTTCCTTACGAACACAGATATATCCATGAGGTTCTCGGAAACGACTCTAACGGTTTTGATTAAATTTTGTACACAAATAATATTTTGGATATTAAGGTTATCTGAATAGGCACTGTCTCCGAGAAGACTCGTATAAGGTTGCCACCTATTCGAAATTAGTTACAAATTAATTAAAACATCATAATATGGGTATCAAATGGAAAGGTATTTTAAAGATCCCTAATTCAAAAATATTTTTAATCGAGTTGCCACCTATTTCGAATCGCATATTTATTTAATTTTTTGTTTAGAAAAAGAGGTAAAATATTACTATTCATGGGTACCAAGGGAACGTTCTCAAACAATGTTTTCCTTATATACAAAATGTTATCCATCAGGATAATAGTGTAAGGTTGCCACTTATTTTCGATTCAACACAATTTATCTGACACATCGCAATATGGATATCAAATGAAAGGTATTGTTGAGAACTTTGTTCAGAAAATATTTTCCATCAGGGTTGCCACGTTTCTATGTAATGCAAATTTTTAATTTGTCAATTTCAATCAGCATTTTTATGTATACGCAGTGCATATACGCTCAAGAAATGTACCATTTGTTCCAGCGAATTTCGGAATAGGGTTGCCACCTAAATGTGGGAGTAAGAAATTTACTTAATAGATATCGAAATCCAATTTTTTCCTAAAATATTTTTTTAAAGTAATCCAAATCTTGAAAACTTTTAAAAGTATATGCCCTCCGGGCAAAGTTCGATCAACCTGGTACTACGCCCAAATCTGGCTGGGTTAAACCGATTTTAAACTATCAGCTGTTAAGTGGTATATTTATATTCAGCTGTCTAAATTTAGATGAAAGAGGAGGAAAAAAATTAAAATTGTTTTCGAAATAACTACATGAAAACCGACTCATTTGTTTAGCGGCACTTAAATAAATAAGCGAACTGGCCCTAAGTACTGTGAATATGAAAATCGATAGTTAAACTCTCGTCTATGGCTGTGCATTGTGAATTAAGCCCTAAATAAGCCGAAAACATCAAAAATGGCTTTATCATTTACATACATACATATGTACCTATAGATGTACATATGTATGTATGTGGTGTTTCAACCATTCATATGTACTTATGTATAGCAAAAATATTTGTAGTCGCTGGCGATGCGTCCGGAAACTGCTTGGTAATGCGTTAAGTTCTGTTTGAGCTTCGAGCTACTGTAGAATGAAATTATCGCAATTTAACATTCCATGAAAATAACACCAAATTAACTCCGAACGACAGAGGCAGCTAGCAACAAAAGCCAACAAATTGCACTGGTGAAGCCGAAAAAATGTCATAATAATCCCCAAAAGGGACTGCCAAGCAGCAAAACATTAAAATTAATCAGAGGAACGTAACAAAAACAACGCAAGCTAAGCTATTGAAAAACTAAAAAAATGATCACAGCGAGGCAAAGGCCATACGAGAAAACGAATAAAAATGGAAAGAGCATGGAAAGTTTATGGTGGCAATACATACATATGGAAGCACAAGCAGTTAGTTGGGAAACGTGCAACGCCTCAGTAAACGTTACAAAGCAATACAATAAAATTACTTATTTAATGCAGATATGCGATACTTTAAGGCTAGACACGTTATCTGTACGCAGGCTTGCGCCTTTTCTGTTTTGGTTGTGGTTTCTTTAGTCGTTGTCTATTGCTCTTTATCCATCCTGTTGCCTTCTTCGAATATAGAGATACTAGATAACCTTGAGGGATACTGACCGCGCCTCAGTTATATTTTTCGTCGAAACCTAACCTGGATCTGCTAACAACAAAAGGCTGATGGCAATAACATCTTCAAACAACACCAACGAATATACTGCATACATACATACATATGTATGTACATTGTACATGTATAAATACAAAAGAGGTTGTTAAAAGTATTTAGCAATTTAGATTTGCAGTCGTTGGCCTAAGTTAAGTGAAGTGCACATATGTATGTATGTGCATTAGAGTGGTCTCATTTTTGTATGTTTAAAAAATTTCTTCCTAGAAAACGGTGTACCCCCTTAGTTTTTTCCTTTTGATATTTGTAATATCTATACCAACTTTCAGTTTTCTACTGCAACCAATACAAGGTGCTCAAACAGCTTGAAATGCGCTCCTGCATCGCTGTGAAACTGGCAAAAATATTGGTGATTTTTGTAAAAAGCTACTGTTGCCATGACAACTGAAGCTTGTGATATTTTAATTGACAAGTTAATTTGAAATGTTCTTAGGTTACTTAACCAATTGTTTGATTAATATATGTACGCAATACTTCTAGATTAAAATATGAACATCATGAGCATCATCTAAATGCATACTTAGAAACGTAAGGTTTGGTACCAGCACCTCTTTCGGCAAGAGGAAACATTTTGGAAGGTGCCCCAAACCCTATCCCGGAAAAATTTTTAGGACCACTCTAGTGTACATACATGCCTATATACCTCCATACCTATATACCTCGATACGTATGTACATATAAACAAACGTACGTACTTCGTACACACATACAACTGCATTGAAAGTAACAGCATTGAGGTACAGTAGAAGCTCACAAATTTGAACCACTTTGTAATTGAGGCGATTCGAATTATTCTAATTTCAGGAGATTTTGTGAAAGCAGAAATAAAGCAAAACAAATTCAATATATATTAATGTTTTTCCCAGGGCTTCGTAGTGGAGCGGAGCAAAGGATTTTAGCTGAAGCGGAGCTAGAGCAACCCAAGAAACATTTAGGTTAGAGAACGATCAAAAACGATTGTAATTCTAATGTGTCTCTGTAAGGTTGAAGTTTAGAAGATGATTAGAGAAATTGTCGAGAATTACTGCAATCTCTACAAAAAGAGGGGGGCGGGGGGGGGGGGNGGGGCTTAGTTCTCAGCATCGAGAAAGAGGTTAGATATCTAATCTTTTTCTAACGTGGAATTCTACTTGGTTTCTAAAATCTATTGTTTCTCTAATCATTCTCTAATCGAATTATTACATAGTTCTCTAAACTGATTTTCGATTCGAAAACTACATTAGAATTCCAATGTGAAATCAAAACATTTCTCTAACGTTAGAGACAAATTTATTAGCTCCTTAGCTCCTTAAAGAACAATTTTCAGTTAATAAATTTACTTATTTTTTGCCACTGAAAACAACCACGTTAAATAAATTTCCACTTAATTTATATTACTTGGTCATTCTGTTCATTCCACAATGAACAGCAGTCAGGGATAATTTCCACCTGAATTTGAACGGCGATGAAACACAATGTGGTTGTTCACGCCTGTCTGGTGATCAGGTTATCTGGTTTAAAATAATACACTACACAAAAATTATTTTCAACTAGATAACCTGATAAATAGGCAAGCGTGAACAACCACAATGTTTTAGTACCTGCTATTTTTTTATAAATAGCAGTACATACATATGTATGTATATGCTCATAAAACCCATAAAAGTACATACATATGTATATGCTCATAAAACCCATAAAAGTACATACATACATTTGCATATCGAGCCCTAACCGCTTAAAAACATAAACTGCTGTACTAGTTTTTACTTCGAAATTGTCGAGTGAAATTTCGAAGTTTAACTTCAGAATCGTTATAATTTGGCTCTCAAAGGGCCTAGGGATTTCAATTATGGCTCAAATTAGAGGTCTTGAATAGCACTACAACGCACTTGTTATTCGAGGAATATAAAATTGTGTGAAGGATGCACAGCTGCATACAATTCAGAAAAAATGTAATATTTAATGCATTTTTTAAATTGAGGGATTAACATTTTTTTGGAATAAATCCGTTGGATTTTGCACGTTTTTTTTCGAAGAACACTATTTTTGAAAATTTTTTTTAAGTTCAATCAGTAATTGTGGCTCGATTGCAATATTTACCCGTGAAAGGCAATTACATTAGCTTTCAAAGCCATTTTGTTTCAAATTATGGAGTGTTAAAAAAGCACACTGTGTACCGCCGAGTTAGTTCGAATATGTTATTTTTCACTCGAGAAATGTAATTTTGAAATTTTCAAATTACTATGAAGTATTTCTCTCAAAAACATATGACTCAAAGCAAATGATTTATAAAACATAATTCATTTATAAACAATATAAAATATAATAAAATAAAATGTCTGTCATATTTGGACGTGCAAAATTTTTGATTCTTATTTCCCCCAAAATTGAGCTCACGATCCGCCACTGTATGCACCAGCTGTCAAAATTTCAAAGTCCTACGAAATACCGTTACAAAGTTATAGCGAAAGCAATTTTGGCTTAAGTGCTTAATTGTACTCTGTTTACAGTTTTTTTGTGCCCGCAGTTTCGGTTAAGCCTTTTTCTCCGTGGACAATTTTTCATTGCAGAGGGGGAATTGTTTTTGTGTGAAAGTTTTAAAGTGCTTCTATTTTTCTTCCAAATATGGACTATTTACAAACAAAGGTACATGAATATATTTGTGGTAGATTAAGATTTTTAATCAAAAGGATAAAAATATTACTTTTTTTTTTATACAGAAATTGTATTTTTATCAATAACGTATGCATATGTGTTGAATAGTTGCTTTCTTAATAACAAGAATTAAAGAAATGAGTTAGGGCCAAATTTCAAAGATTTTTGTACTGCAAATCTCTAGTTAACTGCCGATTATGAGTTAACTACGCACTGCGAAATGGGCCCTTAAAGGCATAAAATGGTGTTTGTTAATGCAAAATTATTATTTTTCAAATATGTATATCTTTTGGCTTAACCGCCGCAATTGCGTGCTGTAGCCTTTTTCAAGCGGATTTAGACAGTATTTTTTTTGAAGGGGTGGAAGGGACGTACTGCGCGACGCGACGACTGGTAGCCCGCCGCGCGTACGCGGATCGGCGTGGTGTTATGCACTTTTAAAGCTGTATACTATGTTCATATTTACTGTGTAGAGTATGCTAGAAGTGTATTTTATGAATATTTTTTTGATAGAGCAATAACGTTCATGGATTTTGCTGCGCTTTCGAAAAGGTAATATTATTGCCTATAACGATAAGAAGTAGTGTCCATGGACGTTATTTTCGCCTTGCCTTATTACACGTCACGGTAAAGCTTGCTTGATATTTAATATTTCTGACATTAGTTCCCTTTTCAATTTTGCATTAATGTTAGTGACATTAATTCCATTGACATTATTGCACACCGCCGAGTTCCACAGTTTTCAAATTCGCTAATCAATATTTTGAACAAATTTATTTAGAAGTTTTTTGCCTTGAGAAGTTGAGCCTCACAATACCCTTCCACTATACATAGATATTTGTATGACATCATCGCTGCAATTCCAAGAAATAGGTAGGACGAGATTTCGCAAGTGTTCAATAGCTATCACTCACGTGCCACAAACCTACTACCACGTTCCGCTATATTGATTTTTTATTAATCGCATCCGTTGAATCGGAAAGTGGAACTCGTTTCTATGCTAGTTTACAAAGTAACTAAGATGTCTGATCCTAAATATCACTACAAAAACCTACTTTTTGTGGAAAAAGTCCTGCTTGCATAGTGCTACCCACACAAATTTACTAAATTTTACATTAAGAGATGCGTCCCTGTAGGGAAACCGCTTACTAGTGAATCAAATTTCTAGTTCCGTACTAGGTCTTTATCGCCAAAAAAGAACTAGCCGATATGAACTAGATCGCCACCAGTCCAAAATCAGCGAAAAGTGGTACTTTTAAAAAACTAATGTTTTTTTTAGGTTTTTTCACTAGAAATCGATATCTAATGTGACGAATTTAGAAATTCTTCGAAACTATAGAAAACGAGATGTAGAACGAACTAGATCTTATTTGTCGAATTTAGAACTAGTTCGGAACTATCGAATAAGGGATGCAGCGGGGGGCTTGTTTACTTTACATAGATATGTGTTCGGCGGCTTTTTCGTTCAAATACGCTTTTATTCTGCGCTTCGCAGATGCTTTTTCATAGCTTGGTAATACAAAACTAAAATTTGTGTTAACATTTCAACATCTTGGGACCGTCAGGAATCTAAGAAATAACAGCGAGCACCTCTGCAAACTCAGCTACAGCTAAAGGTATGTAAACGTACATTTCATACAATCATTCAAATAAATTTAATTTCAAATTGAAAACACATTTCCTCCAAAATAAAGAACCAAAAATATTGAAAAATCATGATACTTTTTTCTTTCGTCTGTCGATTTTAGAACTGGTTCGGAACTGTAGAATTTAGGACTAGTTCGGAACTATCGAAAAACGGATGCAGCGGGGGGCAATTGACACTTCCTAGTACATCGCCATGTTAAATTCACCAGTTGCTTGCATGCAAAAGAGATTTATCGCGAACCAGTCCTGGGGCTAAATGTACTAGAAGCGCACTAGTTCAGAACTAGAGATTTTCCCCACAGGGGTATGCCAAAACAAAAGACTCAATTCAAATAATCTTTTGAGACATGAGGAAAATGCCACACATAAGTTTATGGTTTTACCTTGCATCGAAGATTTCCCCAACACGTTAATAAAGTGAATGACAAATTTGTCAAAAAGTTTAAAGATCCCTTTCAAAAAGAGGATACGCAAGGAATGCTTTATAAAGTAAACTTCAAGACTAAGAAAAACATTGGAATTAAATCTTTATTTCTAAGATGATGCATATAAAAATTAGTAAAAAAAACTTTGAAAAGACAAAAGGAAATGCAAATTTTGAATTCTGTTTATCAATCTAGCTGGGTTAAACCGAGTTTAATTTATCAGCCATTAAATTGCATATTTGTAGTCAGCTGCTAAAATTTAGATGAAAGAAGACGAAAAAAATTAAAATGGTTTGCGAAATACACGAAAATAGATTCATTTGTATAGCGGCACTTAGGGCCAATTTCACAGTGCGTAATTAACTCAGAATCGGCAGTTAACTACAGATTTCCAGTACAAAGTAAGTTTCTTGTGCACAATTTTCACCTTACCTATGAGCATTTCGCTTATTATGTACCTGAGGGCCAATTTCACAGTGCGTAGTTAACTCAGAATCGGCAGTTAACTACAGATTTTCAGTACAAATGTGAAATTGGCCCTTAGGTATATAATAAGCGAAATGTTCATACGTAAGGTGAAAATTGTGCACAAGAACATTAACAAACGCAACTTCAGTTGGAGTTTACTTGCATAGGGTAATTTCGTCGGGCAACACATGAAGCACCTAATAAATTCTTCAAATTTCCGTCTATATACTTTCAGAACTTTAAAAGCGATCTTATCAAAAGTAAAAATAAATAGCTGAAGTTTTGTATCTGCATAAAGAAAAAACTGTGTTGCCCTACAAAACAATTAAACTACCTGTACCTGAGGGCCAATTTCACAGTGCGTAGTTAACTCAGAATCGGCAGTTAACTAAAGATTTTCAGTACTGTGAAATTGGCCCTTAGGTATATAATAAGCGAAATGTTCATATGTAAGGTGAAAATTGTGCACAAGAACATTAACAAACGCAACTTCACATTTCCGAGCCGTTTGATACCAAACGAGGTTTCAGACAAGGTGACTGTCAGCTCAAGAGCATACAATTGCAGGCTTATGCCGACGACATCAATATTATCGGTAAAAGCAAGGGCTACGTCTGTTCTGCCTTTTCGGGATTAGATAGAGAAGCAAAGCGAATGGGTCTGGTGGTAAACGAGGACAAAACGAAGTATCTCCTGTCATCACACAAACAGTCAGAGCATACGCGTCTTGGCACACACGTCACTGTTATAAGTTTGGAAAAGTAGAAAAATTCGTTTATTTGGGAACCAGCATTAACACCAATAATAATTCCAGCCTTGTAATCCAATGGAGAATCACTCTTGTCAACAAGTGCTACTTTGGACTCAGTAGGCAATCATATAATGATCACACTCTATAAGTCACTCATCATGCGTGTGCCGGTGTATGGCGCGGAGGCATGGACAATGAAAACATCTGATGAAGCGGCTCTTGGAGTTTTCGAGAGAACGATTCTGCGAAAGATTTACGGACCTTTACGCGTTGGCGATGGCGAATATCGCAGACGATTTAACGATGAACTGTATGAGCATTCGCTACGATACAAATACATACAGCAACGTACATACTTAAAATACGCTTCATACAAACCTCACCTTACAAATATACATTAACATATATATATACTCCGTCGTACATACACACAGCACCAGGTGAGCACTGCCAGCAGCATGCCAGAACAACTCACCAACCACTTGGTTCACCACAATGCATAACTCGGGACAGCACACGACGAAACCTCAACGAGCATGCAGCGCAACTGGCCGGCGAGCGGATGGTGTGCTTGTGCACTAATGTCTCGCCGGCCAGCCAGGCTAAGCTCTTCGTAACCAATCGGTACTAAATGGTGTGCCTGCGGGCGCACTAATAGTCACCGACTGGCCAATCCAAAACCAAGTACTGCTCAAACCGCCGTCTGACCGGGGATTGCACGCCCTTTTAGGCATCCTTATTAGTCACCGGCCTCTAACACCTCCGACTCGTTCCAGCCCCTACTCATGTAGAGTGCCGTCTGGAAGCGCTTGCCGAGCTGTTCAGGACTACTGGCAGCAGTCCGCCACCGTTGAGAGCGTCCGCCACTACCGAAGGCCATCCGAAGCTGCTGAAAGCCATTCGCTGAGAATAATCTGTTGCGCCGCTACTGCTACTCTACAGCTAGTGAGAGCCATTCGCCAAGAATCATCTGCTTCGCTACAGCTACCCCGCAGCTCTTGATAACCATTCGCCACCGCTGAGAGTAGCTCCGTCACTCTGCTGTGCACCTAATGCTGCATACCAGGCTCCCTGACGTTAGTAAGAGTCACCTGCCGTACTGCTAGCGCCCTCGCCGTTGCTCGACCGTGGCTGAGAACCACTCGTCGTGCTGCCAGCACTCTCACTGTTACTCACCAGTTGACCCATCATTACTCACCGTCATACACGCCGACCCGACCTCTAGACAACAAACAAACGCCATCCGCTCTCGCTCTCTCTCTCCCTCTCTTTGGACATAAGGTTGCCAGCACTCTAATCATAGCGCCGTAGGTGTGTGTGCTCGAATTAAATACAAGATAATATTGTGTTTTATTTGGTGGGGGTTAGTGGGACCTTCGCTGGGCTCTGGATCGGCTGAGCTTACCTCAGCCTTCGACAAAACCCATCTCATAAATGGCGCCCGAGCAGGGACCCAGCTCTGCAGGCGCATGTCCAAAAAATTTTACAAGCACCAACACTGCGGAAGCGGGCTCACCCCAACGGGACTGAAAGTTAGCTGCGCCCCAAAGGAGCAAGTACGGAGCAGTACAAAAGCAAAGTTAAAAATAAATTTTTAAATTTCTAACAATACTCAGAAATAAATATCATTTTGTTAGTTTCTTTTGAAAAAAAGTTAATTTATGTGAAAACATGTATGTATGTATGTACATATGTATTTTCGTATGTATTCCACATAGAAAAGAAAAAAACATGTTTATAAGTACACTTAATAAAACCATCAAATGGTATACAAAAACGCCATTCTTTTATTAAAACCAAAATCTAATATAAAAATTAAAATTTGCATGCATCGCTTTTTAAATGCTTTAGCTGAAGCAGCAAGGGAGCGCTTCTCAATGTTAAAATACAATGAAATATGAAATTGGGAAGGGAACGCTTACTGCTGAATATGGAGCGCTCCAACAGAACTAATGGAGCGCTTCTGGCCCCGTTGGGACCGAACACACCACAACCAACAAATGACACACGCGCTAGCGTGAATAACACCAATATGCTGAATGGATGCTGGATATACCTGCTAAAGAAGGAAAAGTTAATAGAAGAGTGAATGCGGTGCCGAATTTTCCTAGAGCGATACACAGTCGCCGACCTGCGCAACGCGATGAGCGCATATGTAAAAATATCGCAACCGCAAATAAACAGAAGATCTACTGAGATACCTAGAAGAGGAAATCAAAGCAGAGAAGGAGAGACCAGTAAAGCTGCAACTTAGCACTACTCCCAACGCCCGGATCGAAAACTGTAGTCCACAGCCAGGAGAAATGAAGCACACAGCGTCAAAGCGTAATGAGATCAGCGGCGCCAAGCTGACCAATACTGTCCGCCGCTGTTACGTACAGTTTTGCGGAGACGACGCGCTATACGACTTACTGGAGAGAATCGAAGAACTAGCCGAGTGCTACCACATCCCACTAGATAATCTGCTCACAACCTTACCTGAAGTGTTACGCGGGAAAGCCCTCCAATGGTTCCGCGTGCGATAGCCACAAATCCACTCGTAGGCAGCATTTCGTACAAAAGTGAAGCGGCTCTTCCTCCCAAGGCGACACATGAGCCAGCTGGAGGATGCCATCCGACAGCGACGCCAACAAAGCCGAGAGAAGGTCAAAGAGTACATCCTGGCGCTACAAACACTAATACGACAACACCCCACTATGTGCGAAGAGGACCACCTGGAACGCATCTACGACGGCTTACGCGTGGAGTACCGCCTCTTAGTTACGCGGAGAGAGTTTAAGACGATCGACGAGCTGATGCATCTTACCGATGAATTCGAGCTCTTGAAGGGCGAAGAGGCCAGAAATGTTAGACAGGCGGCACACATCATAGCCACCATGGAAGAAGGGGTACAGTAAAGAATCCTACTGGCGTTACAAAGGGCGCGGACACCGCCGCTTCCGATGCCTAAGAGCGAAAAGACTGTTCTGCTCCAGGTGCGGCCGAAACATTCCCTCCAGAGACTGTCCAAGCAGCACCGCCACTATTATCCCACACGTCAAAATACGCAGCACCGATCGCCACCGGAAAACTAGATGGCCGCTACTACATTAATGTCGCTATTAGAAGGCATGAGCGTGCACGCACTTCTGGACACCGGCGCGACAATCACGACGAAACCATACATCCACACTTGGAATATAAGACGATACGACCTCGGCCTAGGCACCACAATATGCAACTCGCTGATCAAACGTGCGTCTCCAGTTTGTACACGTACTCCGTAAAGGTAACGTACAACGGGCGAGTGACAACCACACTTGCTTCATCACTCCCAAATATCGCTGAGCGCATCATTCTGGGGATGGACTTCCTCAGGGACAGAGGAGTTATCCTCACGCTGGATGGTCAACCACTACCTACAACCACCCCGCAAACGATGTACGCACCATCCCAGCTTTACACGCTAACCGAAACAGAACATCTGAGCCAAGAACAGAATGAACAACTGACCGAATTTCTGACGCGACACCAGAAGATCGTAAGCGGAATCACCGCACCTAGCCGCCTATACAACAGGTGATAAATGCCGAAGTCTGCAAGACTCAAATAAGCCGGAGGTTGTGCAGAGATTACCGCCAGCTCAACACCGCCATGAATACGGCCCAAAACGAATCAACGCAAGCTTCCGCCGCGGTGATATCCCACGGGAGAAATCCAGCGGCACCACGGCAAATGTGCTCCGAAGGGGCAGTACCTGAAGAACCCCCTGCAGCACCTCCAGCCATCACCGAGTTATGGGCAGAGATAAAGGGGCACTTCACCACGGCAGCCAAATAGCAGAAAAGATATTACGAGATACGCAGACGGGCGTGGAAACCTAAAGTGGGAGATAAAGACCTGAAGCGATATCACCCACTCTCCACTCCTGCCGACAACTACGCACATAAAACTCGTTGCAAAATACTCAGGCCCACACAATCGCAAAATACGTACCTACCAACACGGTGAAACTCATCAGTCCCGTGCGGCCCGACAAACAACCAGCGCACGCACGCTTGCAAGACTTAAAGCCATGCACCACATAAACGTTCTGCCAACGATCAAAACTCGCCGCATCAATGAGCCACCGAAACCGACGTCCTGCTCCACCGGACTAGCCGCAACGCATCCGGCCATGGCCGTTCGAAAGTACACCATGGGCCACCACTACTGGAAGCAGCTGCAGCGCCAGCGAGCTTCTCTTCAGAATCCTAGTATTAGACGTTGTAAAACTAAACTAAATATTTTGTCTTTTTATACCTACTGTTACTAACCAGGGTATAAATTATTTGTCGCAAAACTAAATTGAAACCAAGTTGAAAAAGATTTTATAAAGAAAATAATATTTAAGTAATAGTAATAGTAAAGATATGAGTTATGTATATAGTGCAAAAATTGTATGTAAAAAGCTGAAAACAATAATAATAAAACCGAGACACCGAACACACACCAAGGTAGTGAAGGTCAATAGGACCATAACTCCAGAGTACAGCAACCTTTCGTCCCCAGAAGTGGGAGGGGGACTGTAACGTTGCATTCGCTACGATACAATGGCATACAGCACCGTACATACATACAATACGGTTCATACAAACTTCACTGTATATATATACAATAACATATATATACTCCGCGGCACATACTTACACTGCCGTACATACACACAGCACTGCCAGCAGCGTACCCGAAGAACTCACCAACCACTTCGTTCACCACACTAAATAACTTGGGACAGCATACGACGAATTCACAACAAGCACGCAGCGCAACAGGTATAAAGGACTGAACAAGTGCGCAGTCAGGTCAGTCTTGCTAGGATGTTGTGCTTGCGCACTAATGTCTCGCCGGCCAGCCAAGCTAAGCTCGGCGTAACCAATCGAGACTAAATGGTGGTGCCTTCGGGTGCACTAATTGTCGCCGTCGGGCCAAGCCGAAACCAAGTACGACTCAACCCGCCGGCTGACCGGGCATTGCACGCTTCTTTAGGCATCCTTTTTTGCCACCAGCTGGTTGAGCCTCTGATACCGCCCACCCGTTCCAGCCCCTACTCATGTAGAATATGTTCCTATCCTTTCCAATGCCATCGTATCCCTTCCAGTGTGTTCCTATCCTTTCCCATGCCTTCCTATCCCTTCCAACCCAGTCCTATCCGTTCCAATGCCTTCTCATCCCTTCCAATGCCTTTCTATACCTTTCACTGCTTTCCAATAACTTCAAATCTCTTCCAATGCCTTCCTATCCCTTCCACTACCTTCCTATCTTTTCCAGTGCCTTCCACTGCGTTTCTATCCCCTCTAATGCCTTCGTATTCTGTCCAATGCATTCATATCTTTTCTAAACCTTCCACAGCCTTCCTATCCCTTCTAATGCCTTCCTATCGCTTCCAGTGCGTTCCTATCCATTCCAATGCCTTATCATCCCTTCCAATGCCTTTGTGTACCTTCCGCTGCCTACCTATCCCTTCTGATACCTTTCTGTACCTTCCACTGCCTGCCTATCCCTTCAAATACTCTCGTATCCCTTCCAATGCCTTCCTATCCCTTCCAGTGCACTCTCATCTCTTCCAATACCGTTCTATCCCTCCCAATGCCTTCCTATCCCTTCTAGGGCCTTCGTATCCCTTCCAATGCCTTTCCACTGTCTTCGTATCCCTTCCACGGCCTTCCAATGCTTTCCTATCCCTTCCAATGCCTTTCTATACCTTTCACTGCTTTCCTATCCCTTCCAAAGCTTTTCTATGCCATTTACTGCCTTCCTATCCCTTCCAATGCGTTCCCATCCCTTCCAATGCCTTCTCATCCCTTCCAATGCCTTTCTATACCTTCCACTGCCTTCCTATCCCTTCCAATGCGTTCCCATCCCTTCCAATGCCTTCTCATCCCTTCCAATGCCTTTCTATACCTTCCACTGCCTGCCTATCCCTTCCGATGTTTTTGTGTCCCTTCCAATGGCTTTCTATCCCTTCCAATGCCTTTCTATCCCTTCCTATGCTTTCCCATCCCGTCCAGTGCCTTCCTATCCCTTTCAGGGCCTTCTGATCCGTTCCAATGCTTTTTAACTGCCTTCCCATCCCTTCCAACGCCCTCCAATGATTTCCTATCCCTTCCAATGCCGTCATATCCCTTCCAGTGCCTTTATATAGCTTCTACTGCCTTCCTATCCCTTCCAATACTTTTCTATATCTTTCACTGCCTTCTTATCTCTTCCAATGCCTTCGTATCCCTTCCAATACCTTTCTATCCCTTCCAATGCATTTCTATACCTTCCGATGCCTGCCTATCCTTTCCTATTCGATCCAGTGCGTTCATTTCACTTCCAATACCTTCGCATCCCTTCAAATGCGTCCTTATCCCTTCCACTGCCATCCAATCTTTTACAATGCCTTCGTATCCCTTCCAATGCTTTCTCATCCCTTCCAATGCCTTTCTATATCTTCCACTGCCTTCCTATCCCTTCGAATGCCTTTCTATACATTCCACTGCCTGCCTATCCCTTCCAGTACCTTCGCATCCCTTCCAATGCCTTTCCACTGCCTTCCTATCCCTTCCAACGCTTTCCTATCCCTTTCAATGCCTTCT